TTATAAACTCATGAATTCATACACTTATGAACTCAAACTCATAAATTAATAAACTCTGAACTCTTACTCATTTAAACTTATAAACTCTAAACTCATAAATTCATACACTTATAAACTCATGAACTTATAAATGCATTAATTCATACACGTATGAACTCTCATGAATTCATACACTTATGAACTTTTAAACTCATAAATAGTTCACCATAGCAAACACCCAGAACACTCTAGCAACTGCATAGCAACCCCCCAGAACACCCTAGAAACCAACTGAAATACCTTAGAACACCCTAGCAACACCATAGCAACCACCCACAATACCTTAGAACACCCTAGCAACCACATAATATACCTTAGAACACCCTAGCAACCATACAGAACACCCTAGCAACCACCCAAAATACCTTAGAACACCCTAGCAACCACCCAAAATGCCTTATAACACCCTAGCAACACCCTAGCAACCACCCAAAATACCTTAGAACACCCTAGCAACCACCCAAAATAACTTAGAACACCCTAGCAACCACCCAAAATACCTTAAAACACCCTAGCAACACCATAGCAACCACCCAAAATACCTTAGAACACCCTAGCAACACCCTAGCAACCACCAAAAATACCTTAGAACACCCTAGCAACACCCTAGCAACCACCCAAAATACCTTAGAACACCCTAGCAACCACCCAAAATGCCTTATAACACCCTAGCAACACCCTAGCAACCACCCAAAATACCTTAGAACACCCTAGCAACCACCCAAAATAACTTAGAACACCCTAGCAACACCATAGCAACCACCCAAAATACCTTAGAACACCCTAGCAACACCCTAGCAACCACCAAAAATACCTTAGAACACCCTAGCAACACCCTAGCAACCACCCAAAATACCTCAGAACATCCTAGCAACACCCTAGCAACCACCAAAAATACCTTAGAACACCATAGCAACACCATAGCAACCACCCAGAACACCCTAGCAACCACCCAAAATACCTTAGAACACCCTAGCAACCACCCAGAACACCCAAGCAACCACCAAAAATACCTTAGAACACCCTAGCAACACCCTAGCAACCACCCAAAATACCTTAGAATACCCTAGCAACACAATAGCAACCACCCAAAATACCTTAGAACACCCTAACAACACCCTAGCAACCACCCAAAATGCCTTAAAACACCCTAGCAACACCATAGCAACCACCTAAAATACCCTAGAACACCCTAGCAACCACCCAGAACACCCTAGCAACCACTCAAAATACCTTAGAAACCACCTAGCAACCACCCACAACACCTTAGCAACCCACTAGAAACACCCTAGCAACATTTAATTACTTGAAACTATACTTTAACCTTTAAACTACTTTGAACTTTAAACTATTTAAAATTTTAAACTACTTTAAACTACTTTAAACTAATTTAAACTTCAAACTACTTTAAAATTCAAACTTATTTAAACTTTAAACTACTTTAACTTTCAAACTAATTTAAACTTCAAACTACTTTAAAATTCAAACTAATTTAAACTTTAAATTAATTTAAACTACTTTAAACTTTAAACTAAGTTAAACTATAAACTACTTTAAACTAATTTAAACTTCAAACTAATTTAAACTTTAAACTAATTTAAACTTCAAACTACTTTAAACTTCTTCAAACTTTGCGGTCCAAACTTTCACAAGCCAACTTAAAGTTTGTCTCGACGAACTTTTTCTAGTTATTATTATTCTTCTTTTTCTTACTCTGAAATTTCTGACTCTAACTCCTCCTAGAGCTTTAACTCCACATACTCCAAACTCGGCACGGACACTCAAACTGTTCTGACTTAGTGTGCTATATCTTTTCTAACTGATCGGACTTACGGTTTTCCTAAAAACTACGATCAAACTCGGAAAAAACTCCCATTGACTTAACATTGCGGAATCTTCAGATTTTCAAACTCCCCAACTGTCAAAAATTTAAATGTAAATCCCTTGAAACCCTAGACTGAATCAAACTGCCATTCTATACACTATATGAGCCAATGAGACTCAATTAAACTAATAAACTCATATATCTATGACACTTATCCACCTATCTATCTATCTACTTTAAACTAAATGAAACTTCAAACTAAATTACACTTTAAACTTCAAACTAATTTAAACTTCAAACTAATTTAAACTCTAAACTTATAAACTTATAAACTCATGAATTCATACACTTATGAACTCATAAATTAATAAACTCTGAACTCTTACTCATTTAAACTTATAAACTATAACCTCACACACTTATAAACTCATGAATTCATACACTTATGAACTCATAAATTAATAAACTCTGAACTCTTACTCATTTAAACTTATAAACTCTAAACTCATAAATTCATACACTTATAAACTCATGAACTTATAAATTCATTAATTCATACACTTATGAACTCTCAAGAATTCATACACTTATGAACTCTCATGAATTCATACACTTATGAACTTTTAAACTCATAAATAGTTCACCATAGCAAACACCCAGAACACCCTAGCAACTGCATAACAACCACCCAGAACACCCTAGAAACCAACCGAAATACCTTAGAACACCATAGCAACCACCCAAAATACCTTAGAACACCCTAGCAACACCCTAGCAACCACCCAAAATGCCTTAGAACACCCTAGCAACCACCCAAAATACCTTAGAACACCATAGCAACCACCCAGAACACCCTAGCAACCACCCAAAATACATTAGAACACCCTAGCAACACCCTTGCAACTCCCCAAAATACCTTAGAACACCCTAGCAACACCCTAGCAACCACCCAAAATACCGTAGAACACCCTAGCAACCACCCAGAACACCCTAGCAACCACCCAAAATACCTTAGAACACCCTAGCAACCACACAAAATACCTTAAAATACCCTAGCAACACCATAGCAACCACCCAGAACACCCTAGCAACCACCCAAAACACCTTAGAACACCCTAGCAACCACACAAAATACCTTAGAACACCCTAGCAACCACCCAAAATACAAAAGAACACCCTAGCAACTCCCTAAAATACCTTAGAACACCCTAGCAACCACCTAAAATACCCTAGAACACCCTAGCAACCACCTAGAACATCCTAGCAACCACCCAAAATACCTTAGAACACCCTAGCAACACCCTAGCAACCACCCAAAATATTTTAGCAACCCCTTAGCAACCACCCAGAACACCCTAGCAACCAACCAAAATACCGTAGCAACCCCCTAGCAACCATCCTTAACACCCTAGCAACCACCCAAAATACCTTAAAACACCCTAGCAACCACCCAGAACACCATAGCAACCACCCAAAACACCTTAGAACACCCTAGCAACCACCTAGCAACCACACAAAATACCTTAGAACACCCTAGCAACCACCCAGAACACCCTAGCAACCACCCAAAATACATAAGAACACCCTAGCAACACCATAGCAATCCCCCAAAATACCTTAGAACACCCTAGCAACCACCCAGAACACCCTAGCAACCACCCAAAATACCTTAGCAACCCCTTAGCAACCACCCATAACACCCTAGCAATCAACCAAAATACCTTAGCAACCCCCTAGCAACCATCCTTAACACCCTAGCAACCACCCAAAATACCTTAGCAACCACCTAGCAACCACCCAGAACACCCTAGCAACCACTCAAAATACCTTAGCAACCACCTACAACACCTTAGCAACCCACTAGAAACACCCTAGCAACATTTAATTACTTGAAACTATACTTTAACCTTTAAACTACTTTAAAATTCAAACTTATTTAAACTTTAAACTACTTTAACTTTCAAACTAATTTAAACTTCAAACTACTTTAAAATTCAAACTAATTTAAACTTTAAACTAATTTAAACTTTAAAGTACTTTAAACTTTAAACTAAGTTAAACTTTAAACTACTTTAAACTATAAACTACTTTAAACTACTTTAAACTTTAAACTAAGTTAAACTATAAACTACTTCAAACTAATTTAAACTTTAAACTAATTTAAACTTCAAACTACTTTAAACTTCTTCAAACTTTGCGGTCCAAACTTTCACAAGCCAACTTAAAGTTTGTCTCGACGAACTTTGTCTAGTTATATCTATAATCCATATCCAGTAAATCACGAATGACTGAAAAAGTTAATTGGTTAAACCCTAAAGAACATTCAGATCTTAAAACTTCTTGAATCCCGAAATGTTATTATTTTAACTTTAATTATTAACTTATTTTTTGTTTTGTTTAAAGAAACTAAGAGTGTAGATAGATTAAAATAAGTTTTAAAAAACAAAACTAGGGCTAGGGGGCCTTCAGATATCGTCGAGGACAATGGGGGGCATTGGAGTCAAAAAAGTTGAGAACCACTACATTAAAGGATTGTTTGCCCTTTAGAGGTGTTTTGGACAGTTTGGTTAAAGAGTTAGTTCACCCAAAAATGAACATTTTCCCATAATTTACTCACCCTCAAGCCATCCTAGGTGTTTATGACTTTCTTCTTTCAGCCAAACACAATCTGAGTTATATTAAATAATATCATTGTTCTTCCAAACTTTATAATGGGAGTGAATGGTACCTTGTTTTTTGAAGCCCAAAAAGCACATCCATCCATCATAAAAGTAATCCATATGGCTCCAGGGGTTCATTTTTGGGTAAACCCTTTAACTTTAAAGAGTTAGTTCACCCAAAAATGAAGATTCTGTCAGTAATTACTCACCCTCATGTTGTTCCAACCCCGTAAGACTTTCGTTAATCTTCAGAATACAAATTAAGATATTTTTGATGAAATCTGAGAGCTGGCTCACTCCTTCAATTGCATCTGCCGGTCCAGAAAAGTTAGTAAAGACATCGTTAAAATAGTCCAAGTGACTATAGTGGCTCAACCTTATACGACGAGAATACTTTTTGTGCTTTAAGATGCTTACTTCTGTCATCTGTCCATGTTGTAACAATATGTTTTTCTCTTTTGTCTTCCATTTGGTAGGAAAAGATGGCAGAGACATCTACGAGTGGTGGTCCTGCTGCCACTGGAGCCGATTTTGACATGATGAGCGCTCTTGACTGGAAGGACGGCATAGCTACATTGCCTGGAAGTGACATTCGGGTACAAATATTAAGTGTATCTGATGCATAAAATGTGATGCAAGGGACATATTGGACTATTCTGAATGTGCTGATAAAAAATCTCAAAATCTGGTCATTTTTTAGTTTCGGATGACAGAATTTGGCACCCTGGAGATTGTTACAGAGGCGGAGCCCAAAGTTAAAGAGGCGGAGCTTACAGGCCTACAGCCTCAAACTACAAGCACCAACAACAGTAATTCCCCTGAGCAAAACAAAACTTCAAATCAGACTGTAAAGCCCCAGTTGAATACAGACCAGCAGACAAATACTGTGGGTGAGTACATGTAACACATATTTCTACAAATAGAGGAATGATTTGCTCTTTTATTTATTTTTGAGGACTCGATTTCTTTTTTCAGTTTCCACTGACCCCCACAGGCAGGCCGGGGGCATCAACACTAGGAGCCCCAGCTCTGTGGAAAGCCCCAGCATGAGTACAGTGCCCAATGTGATTGTTCCCATCACTGAGGCCACTGCAAACTGCAGGTCCTGTGGTCACTCTGGTTCACAGGAGTCTTTCCTACAGGGCAAATTTTGCAGTGCTCCTTGTGTGCAGCCTACCAGTGGCAGGTACATGTTTTTGGCACTTACACAGATCTGCCAGTTGCACTGTTTATGGTGAATTTATAAGTTATTTTGTCAAGTCAAGTCAAGTCACCTTTATTTATATAGCGCTTTTATGTGTGCAGTTCAACCCCAGCTGAGGCATTCGAAGGAGAGCGTTTAGGTAAACGTGTGAGAAAGAAGAAGAAGATGTTTATGGAATCTGGAGATGAAGAGGAGGACAACATAGAGGAGGAAGAGGTAATACACACACACACACACACACACACACACACACACACACACACACACACACACACACACACACACACACACACACACACACACACACACACACACACACACACACACACATCTCACACCAAAAGAGCACACCAAAAGAGCACACATTCAATATCAACAGGGATGAACTACTGCATTGATCAGTTTTTTATTTTTTTCTGTTTTTTCAGGAGAAGGTTAAATCCTCGAAGGGAAGACGAGCGGCTAAAGTTGCTAGACTAGGTTGGTAATTTTCATTTAGCTAACACACACACACACACACACACACACACACACACACACACACGGAAATATAAACTGGCCTGACAGTATCTCATGCCTTATGTCTAGGGATTCACAATATATTGGTGCCATATCAGTTATCATCTGATGTTAGGGATTTTTTATTTTTGGATATTGGATATATATCATCTGATATTTAATTGTGCATGGTCATTTCCCAAATTTTTTAATTAAGGTTAAAAAATGTTATTTAAATGACCTTTGCTGTCTTACAATCACATAATTAACTCAAGTTATTTAAAAAATAAATAAAACGAATTATGTAATAACACTGTTAAATGTAATCTTAGGCAAATCTCAAATTTAATATAGTCTTATTAATATTTGTATTCATACTATACATTATAATGTTGTGATGCTTAAATTCACTGGTTACATTTAATATGACTGACAGATTTGAGTTTTTAGTCTTAATTTATTTTGTATCAGTGTTGTCAAAATATTTTTAAATTGGTGCATGCCAAATTGAGTCTTTTAGCAGGTTGTACAGATTGTGTCATGTATATTTTCAGTCAGTTTCAGACTGTCATCCTTTCCATGCTTTTCTAAGCCATATAAAGTGCCTCTTTGTGATGCTGTTTCCATAGTGACAGCACCTCCTGTTAAGAAGAAAACCTGGAGTTGGTCAGCTTATCTGGAGGAGGAGAGAGCCATTGCCGCTCCTTTGAAACTTTTTAAGGAGGTGAGAAAGACAGTATATATCACGGTTATATAAATAACATGGTATGGTTGGGATCCTGATTAGGATGGTAAGTTTGATGTCAATTCAGGTTTGTCATTAGAAAAAAGTGTTACTTGAAAGAAAACAGAGAGATTTTTTTAAAGCATGACATCTATGAAATTCAATAATTTTGTTTTTGTGTGTTTGCCATACAGCACCAGTCTGTTCCGCAGAGTAGGAATGGATTTAAAGTTGGCATGAAGTTAGAGGGACTGGACCCCTGTCACCCTGCTCTCTTCTGTGTTTTGACTGTTGCAGAGGTAACCAGGGTCAAATGTTTCTGTGATGTTACTTGATGTGTCATTATTAGGAGCACAAAACTAAATGTAGTTTTTAGGTTGCGCTTATAGTAAGATGTATTTTCTCTCTTCCAGGTGCAAGGTTACAGGATTCGGCTTCACTTTGATGGTTACCCTGAGTGCTATGACTTCTGGGTAAATGCTGACTCATGGGATGTGAAGCCGCCAGGCTGGTGTGAGAAAACCGGCCTCAAGCTATTGCTTCCAAAAGGTGCTTAATGTACTAATAAAGATGTACTGTAAAAAAAAAAAAAAAACTGTTGGCAAGGATCAACCATGCAAAACGCTACTTTTGTTTTCTGTAACATGGTAGATCTGTTTTATAGATGTTTCTTTATGTGTTAAAACTACTTAAACTCAATATTCTCTCTGAACTGTGTGATGACAAACTGGTCTAGCTGTTATTCTGATATTCAACATAGATGTAATAGTATTGTAATTACAAGTATTGTAATTTATACAAATATTATTTATAAATAATAAATATAATTAAATATAATATAAGATATAATTGAATAAAGCATGGTTACGTTAGCATAGTTTTCATGTTGTTTAAAAAAGTTTTTTTTTGTGGACACTCTTAGTTGCTGCATATGCTGCTAGTAAAATGTATTGCGTATGCTGTTCTTTACTATGATTTAACAGGTTGCAGAGATGGAGAGTTTAACTGGAACACATATGTAAAGAACTGTAGGGGTCAACTGGCCCCCAAACATCTCTTCAAGAGTCTTAATACAGTATGTCATTTCATATGCACACACTTCAAGAGAATAAGAGATATTTTATTCCAGGAGATCATGCTTTCTTTTTTAACCATGTGTTATCTGCCCTATTTAGTCAGTCACACCGTCAGGATTCCGTGCTGGGATGAAGCTGGAGGCCGTGGACAGGAAGAACCCGTCACTCATCTGCGTAGCAACCATTGCTGCTGCTGTCGACAACCGGCTCCTCATTCACTTTGACAACTGGGACGATACGTATGATTATTGGTAAGATCGTGAGCAGAATACTGGCCATATGAGTGTCCCCATGTGCATGTGGTTGTAAGTGCATTCTGTTTGTTCTCAGGTGTGATGCCAGCAGTCCGTACATTCATCCAGTCGGGTACTGTGAGGAGGTGGAGTTAACACTCACCACACCTGCAGGTCAGACTCCCTTAAATATTTTTCTTTGTTAACTTTTATATGTAGCTTTTATGTGTCGTTGTACTAAAGTCAATATAAAGGATCTGGAAAATATTTACAATTTACGATGTATCTATCTAACATCTTCTAATCAATTAAATTTATTAGTATAGCACTTTTCATAAAAAAAAACAAAGAAAACAGGAACAAGCTAAACATTTTGTATTTTTTTCCCCCTCTCAAATTTACCACGGACCCCATAGCACCCCCTGGACCCCAGTTTGAAAGCCCCAGAATTAGTTTTCGTTTTCTTTTCTTTTTTAACAAGCTCTAATGTGCATGAAAAGTTGTATTAAAGTTATTGGAAGTCTATTTATGTCTTTCTTAGAGTATAAGCACCCAAAGAGTTTTTCTTGGGAAAAGTACCTAGAAGAAACTGGAACCCAAGCTGCACCAGCTAGAGCCTTTAAACAGGTACGGTTTAAATCATTGCAATGAACCATAAGAGGTGTAGGTAAATAATTTAAGTTTTAACTAGGACCTTTCAAATGACATTTTATAATTGGTCAAATATCATTTGAAAGGTCCTAGTAGTTGGTGTGGTGCTAAAGTGCAGAGTCAGCCTGAACAAAATAGAAATAAAATTTACAAAGAATAAAACACGTTTGATCTGGTTTAAAGTAGTAGGCAGTTTGATAAAAAAAGATTCAATGATAACATATGATTCATAAAAGACATATGTTCTGTTTTATACATATTTTGTGTTTTAACAATTTAATTTAATCTTCTACACAATTCAAAGTTATTAGTATAGCTCTCTTCATAATAAATATGAACAAATAAATGTAGAGAAATAGCAAACAAGCTAAAGGTGAAAGTGGTGAGAAACACTCCCTAAAAGGATATGTCCTGTTTTATACATTTGTTTGATTTAAGTATGTATTATTTGTTTATATAATATGTTTTTAATAGTTTTCTGAATGACCTTTGATCCTTGGCCATCCAGAGACCACCACATGGCTTCCAAGTTGGAATGAAGCTAGAGGCAGTGGACAAACGTAATGCCGTACTCATCCGTGTCTCCACCATCTCTGATACAGAAGACCACAGAATCAAGGTTTACACACAAATATATCTGTTTTGTCTAATTAGCTTACTCTAATTAGAAGCCAACATGGACATACAGCATTTAATATGCTTGTACAGATAGTATATCTTCACTAAATCTTTGTGTTTATATATATACATAGATCCATTTTGATGGCTGGAGTGACGAGTATGATTATTGGCTAGATGCCGATAGCCCAGAACTGCACCCAGTAGGCTGGTGTCAGAAAACAGGTCATCCTCTACAACACCCCAACGGTAACATACTGACCTACACACAAATATAAAGTATTTCAGCACATGGCCACACCGGACTCATAATCTAACTCGTAATGGTAATATTATCAGGTCCCAGAGATTCTCCAGTCCCTCCAGGACAAGGCTGCCCAACCCAAGGATGCAACGGAGTCGGACACATTCGAGGACCTCGGTATGGGACACATTACACGTAAGTTATACATGTGTTGTTACAAACACAACTCATAATGCGCATTCAAATGCAAACGAGTCTCTCTCCCATTGTTAGGGCGGTGAGTTGTCCATACTCAGATCTGAATTTGAATAAAGACGGGTTGGTTCCAGACAGACTGAGTGGGGAGAGGCCAGTCACGCTCAGTGGACCCCCGCGCCACCGCCGTGCTGAAACGCTCACTCAGACGCAGCCTCCCACACCCACACCCAGCGCCAGCACCCCAGACCCCCCTGACACCACCACAGACACCTGTCCACAAGCTCGGGCAGTGCGTGAGCACATTGTGTGAGTGTCAGCAGTGATGTACAGTTTAACTTTTCTTTTTCTCACACACACACACACGCTCACTTTTTATCGATTTCTCATTCTTCAGGTCTGGCAGTGCTCCTAAATGTGTCAAGCCACCCCAAGTGAAGCAGGAAGGTGATGGGAAAGGTATAGATTCTTCAGATATTTTGGCTTAATTTGCTTTTTTTGTGGATAATCCATAACCTTGGAGAATTTTGTACATGGGTCAATGAAGCGATGCTTGGTTTTTTGCCTGGATGTGTAATAATAATAAAAAAATTCATAGATATAATGACTTGAATACACTTCATCTATGAAGTACATATTTTTAATTTTTTGAATTAAAATAAGTTTGATATTTTTGAGAGAAATAAAGTAAAAACATAAAACACAATGAAGGAAAAAAAGCTTTATTATTGTTTTTAAAAATCAATACATATTTAATTAGTAGTAGTTTGACAGTCAATCATTTTTATTTCTGAGAACACAAAAAAATATCTTAACAAAACTGCTTTACTCACTTTTGTCCACCAAATCAAAGCCATGACAACTAACATGACCAGAAAATGATATCAGAAATGCATGCTGTCATGACTGTCAAGGGCAATAAGGTAATTTGACCTTTTTATAACAAGACAAGCTTAGTTCATTATATATAAAATAACACTACATTTAAACTTTTCCAAAAATGTCAACCATATAAGAAGTTACCTGAATACAAAAAGCACATTTCTAAGAACTTGGCGCCTGTATTTTGAACTAGTAACCTTTTCTTTATCTTGGACACTGTTATTTGCCAATGACTGACATATGAGAACGTTTGCAAGGCATGTCATGAATAAATTCTATTTGTGTTGTAGATTCTCTTCAGCAGTTCCTGCATGAGTCTGTGTTTTGTGGATGGGAGCCACCGAGGTTTCAGCTGTGTTGGGAAAAGCATGGCAAACTGCTGCCTGAAGCTTTGGGCCTCACCGCCAAGAGAGTGGCAAAGTGGAACACTGAAGAGGTGGCATTTGATAACTCTAGAAAAGTTCATTTATGCTTTAAAAGAGGTCCTCTAAACGTATTTATTTTTATTGCATCTTATTTGACGATGTTGTTCTTTCAGGTTTCAAGTTTTGTACGAGGCCTGCCTGGCTGCAGAGAGCATGCTGCCACCTTCAGGAAGGAGGTAAATAACTAAAACATCAACTTTACTTGTGAATATTAGTGTAATGTACCTTCCCTATATAGTATACACTACCATTCAAAAGTTTGGGGTTGGATTTTTTCCAATGTTTGTAAAAGAAGTCTCTTATACTTAACAAGGCTGCATTTATTTGTTCAAAAATACAGTAATATTGTAAAAATATTATTACAATTTAAAATAACTGTATTTTTAATATATATTCAAATATAATTTATTCCTGTGATGGCAAGGCTGAATTTTCTGCAGCCATTACTCCAGCAGGGTTTGTATGGTCATGAAAAACCTGGAAAAGTATTTTAAAATAGCAATTTCGTGGCCTGGAAACCCAGAAAGTTTTGGAAAAGTCATGGAACTTTTTTTCCACAAATATCTGTATAATAGAATATATGCTTAATCAGTGCCTGAATTTCGCTGCGGGATTGCAGATATTGCATATACAGTAGTTTTACTAATTCCCACAGGTTTCGCGCTTATTATGCTGGAAATTAATTCCCACAAAAATGTTTTTACTATAGCATGTAGATTAGAGGAGTAAATTAATACACACAGAATATCAGATCAAATCACTAATTTGAAAACAGCGTGAGTGATTCAGTGGTTCTACGTCGTCTCTCTCTCGCTTTCGCTCTTATATATGGCTTTACAGCAACACATTGCGTCTGGAAAAAAAACATTCATTTTTATATTTATTCTGTTGTATTTATTTGTGCTACTGCTTTTAATGTATTTGTTCTTATTTTACTGATGGTTAGTAAATTCAATTCAAAGTTTGAAATCAAGATTCTTGTGCTGTGTGTAAGCTATATTGCACAACAAAATTACCTCATTGTAAAACCACAAATACACAGAAGTGAGCAAACATGTAGTTGAGATAATTGTAATAAAAAAATCCCCCCCATAAGAGTCATCCAAGGGGGAATTCCCCCCTATTTTCCAAAACGCAATTCAGGGCCTGGTTTAATTGATAATGTTGGTTAAACAAATTACAATACTTCGCATTCGGGTATTCAGTCATTTGCACTAATTTATCACATTTAGGACTAATGTAATCTCTGAGTATTTTTGTTCTCAGACTAAGTGAATATGTTTTTTTTCCCATTCTTTTTCCTACAGCAAATTGATGGTGAGGCCTTCCTGCTCCTTACTCAGTCAGACATTGTAAAGATTCTAAGCATCAAGCTCGGCCCCGCTCTCAAAATTTATAACTCTATCCTCATGCTGAGGAGCGCAGATGAAGAGTAGACACCTCATAGCAACTGCTGCTCCTTCAAACAACATGTTTGAAAGTTGCTCTTGTCTCCACCGATGTGTCCAGCGGACTGACAAATGCTCAATCATTGGTCTCATTTATGATTGACGGACATTGAAAATCAGCCGATCCAACGAACTGTATGTGATCAGAAAAATCACGTCTCCCCTTCCAACCCTGCACTCGCTCTAAATTAGGTCTGATATTCTCTTTTGAAATAGATCATTTGATTCATATTAGACTCTGGGAGGGGTGAGTACACTATACTGAGGCACCTTAAAATGTTGAAAGCTTAAACTGGACTGTTTCATTGTTGATATTTATGCTTTTACAGTTGCTAAAATGACGGCTAGTTGCGTTTGGTGCGTCGATTGAAAGGCATGATTCTGGAGCTTTTACTTGAAATGTTTTTTTTTTTAAATGCAAAAAGACCTTTGTTTGTAATTGAACACATCCCAGATAATCCAAATTATCCTGTTTGAGACCACTAGAGGGCAGCAGGATTCTTTGTGTGTGTGTGTGTGTGTGTGTGTGTGTGTGTGTGTGTGTGTGTGTGTGTGTGTGTGTGTGTGTGTGTGTGTGTGTGTGTGTGTGTGTGTGTGTGTGTGTGTGTGTGTGTGTGTGTGTGTGTGTGTGTGTGTGTGTGTGTGTGTGTGTGTGTGTGTGTGTGTGTGTGTGTGTGTGCATGTATACATGTATAGAAATGTATACATGTGTGCTTGCATCTAATGTCAGGGAATTCTTGCTCTGGGCAAATCTGGAATTGAATGTCTCAAGTTTGTATTTACTTCAGATGAAATTGTAAAATGCATTTGTAAATTGAAGATATTGTACATTTGTTGAAGTGAATTGGACAGTTTGATTGACTCACTAGACACTGAAAATAGAATTAGAATTGAGCGGGTGTGTGTGGTGAGTGTGTATTTTCATCTTCTGAGACCCTGACATTTTGCCTTGTACAAGCATTCCTGAGTACTAAGACATTTTGTTCTGTCATTCACCGAGCAAAAGCTTTTTGTACACCCGTGACCTGCTGTATTACACAGCTGTAATTCTCAGCTCTGCTGCAACTGATTTTACTCAGCCATGTTGGAATCACTCCACTTTCATGCATTGGTTTGGCTTTTGCAGTGCTTCTCAAAGTTGTCATTATACACACATGCATATGCAGGTTCTTCTTATAGCATTAGGTCAAGATAATAGATCCAGTTAGGGTCGAAACTGGAGAAGCTGAAGACTCGGAAAATGGTTGTACAAAAGCTAAAATACTAAATAAAATAGATATTAGTCTGCAGATTATTGACTTGATTACAAGTAGGCATTTGGATGGTGATGGAAAATCAAGATTTAAGGAAATCCTAATCACAGTGGTTTGCGTCAAGGATGAGTTTGTATTAGATTTTGATTGTTTTCTTTGGTGTGTGTGTGCGTGTGTAGATTAAATGTCTCTCTAAGCAGACTGTTTATGTGTGACAGATTGTGTTTCTGAGTTTCAGTCCCGAATGGATGCATGAATAGAGCGAAGGAGAATAAATAAGGATTTCAAACAGAACTCTTGTTTATTTTTTGTTTTCATTCATAACGATCTTAACGGTTGCATAAAACTGAAATTTAAGTTCATGCTTATAAACAGAGGCTCAACTGGCATGGAGTTACTTTTGTGTCTTTTTTATGCAATTATGCATATTGGGTTTGAGAGCAAAAATAATTTAAGATTGTAATAAAAAAAAAAAAAAAGATTGCAAATAAAAAGTCTTCTTAAAACTGTTTTAAATTACAAAAAGAAAGCAACTGATAAAAAACTGCACTATGAATAAACTTCCTTTTTCTTTATGCAGTCCCCACACCTCATTACGCACCCATATTTTCTGCTCTGTTCTGCTGTTTTTGTTTGCAGGTCTAAAACTTTTGCTTGCTTATTTAGCATAGCATAAATTATTTTTGTAATAAAAAAGGTTGTTTTTTTAATTATATAATATCTTTATATACAATTACAATATTATTACATTTGCTCTCAGACAGTATGTTTGATTGCATAATGAAAACGCCAAAGCAACTCCATAAACTGGCCACTTCATAACCTACAGAATCTCGCATACTGAACTTCCATGATGGCCCACAGTTATCTGAATACATATTTAAATAACTAAATATAATACAAAATAACAGTCTGAGTTAGTGAGAAAAAACCTTGAATTGGGCCTAAAGACTCCCTAGAGACTCTAAGAATAGGTTATTCTGCCCACCGTGGGACCCAAAGGGCTTGCACACATGTTCCCATGACCCTCTAACCACAGTATCTCTCTCGCTCGCTCGCTCCCACGTCACTGGCCGGTTTAAAGTAAATGCGCCTCCCCTCACGCTCATGATACGCGCGTTTGCTAAAGGCTGGAGAGACTGATGGATTTGCGCGTCTTCTTCGACATGGTTATTAGACTCGTTGCAAGGTGCGCGCTCTCACGTCATTGAAGCAATTAAAACGGACCGTAGCCAATCATGTGTTTCCAGTGGAGAAGCAACTGAGGTGAGTTTAAGTGGTACTAAGTAACTTCAGGTGCTGATGTCCCGAGATATAGCTGAACGTTCACGATGAGCATGAAACAGTGTGTACTGAAACAGACATGCTACACGTACTGCGTTGCGTAATGTGCTTGGATGATATATCATTTTGAAGACACACCCATAAAGTTTGTTACCTTAAAGCTGAAGTGTTTTACAGGACAACTATAAATAAGCCATTTTCATGTTGATTTCCCTGCAAAAGTATAAATGTTGGGAACTATTGTAAGATTATTCTGTCTGAGAATCTAAAAAGCCCAATTCTAGCAACATTGGCCCAACCAATGGCATGTGTTTAGGGCGGGACTATCTGTATGTTTGACCAATGGAAGACAAACTCCACCTTTATTTTGTTTCACAAAACTAAGGCCACTTTAAAGTCACCATGATATCAAAATTGACTTTTCTTTTTTTTATTCAAAATTTCATTATTTATTGTAAATGATTTATCCATGCACATATATATTTTTTTATTCACGTGCCCTCGTAATCTTTAATTAAAATGACTTTCCCTCCCTCTTGCAAAGACATCTCTTCTCTTTTCTGATGAAGTTACTGGCGTGACGCCGCGTGAGGGCAGGTCTTTTGCACTTTATTCCAATTTAAATGGTTAAAATCAAGTCCTGCCCTAAATTCTTTTTCTTGTTAATTTAGATCCATGTTCGTCATAGGTAAGTAAAGACTATCGCAAATGTTGCGGTACGCAGAGAAGGAGACCAGAGGCCTTTTTTTGAATGGATGTCAGTTGAGGAGAGTCTTCACTATGCTAAATGAACTGCTTAAAACCCAATAGGATTTTCCCATAGGCTTAAAAACAAGCACTGCGATCAACAAAATTTTATGAAACTTGCATGTTTTGTCCATCAAGATAATTATCACAGATTAACACAACTTTTATTCATTTTGAAGCCTAAATGCAGTCGCCAGAAGTAAAAAGCTAAAGGTATATAAACGAACTACTCCACGGTCCCACGAATTCAACGTCACCATCACTAAGCTTCCGACAACTCTTTCAGTTTTTATCTTAAAACATTTCCCCAGAACGTTAGAGTTAGAATAGTTTGCAATAACACAATTATGACCATAACGATACGTATACGGCGTGATGGCGTTTAATGTCCCAGACAGCCTATGTAGTTCCATTTAGCCACTTGTTAGCAACCACCTTTTCCAAGACACGTAACAGCTTAACAAAATCTCGAGTGGGGTAATATTGATGTATTTTATGTCGTAGAATAAAACGTAAAAGTGTCTTGAGCTTTTGTTCCCCACAGACCTTATTTCAGCCATTTAACCAAAACCCCATTCAAAAAACCCATTGACTGGAAGTGCTAAAATGCTAACCTGCTTGCGTGTTTTGGCCTACAAAGTGATCATACCTGCACCACTCTATAATAAGACCTGCCAAGGTAACAGAATTGTCACAAAACACACACACACACACTCACATTTGCAGTATGTTTTTAATTTATGATTTGAAACAGACTGTGAAAGTCTCTTAGTAATGTTAACTACTGACCTTATTGTACTGTCTGAGGGAACCTATATGATGCGTTAGGCCTCTGGTTGACAAATGAACCTTATATCAATGAGCTTAGTGGAAAAGAAAAGTGTAAAATAGTGTATCTTAATTTTTTTTATAAATGCTATTGTCAAAATTTCTATTGTTAAACTGAAGTTGGATTTGTTGTAGGCCTATATCTTGTATGACTAGATGCGCTGGTGGTAAAACAACCTTCTTCTTAAGAAATGGTTTACATCGGTTCCACATCCTGATAGCTAAAATGTGCTACCCATGGTTTTAACACTTATACACTTACAGTAGTACATCTACATTTTTTTGCCTGTTGACAATATGTGTTACCCATGTGTCTATTTATAGGCTATACACAGAATGGTACAGCAGCATAGAAAATGCTTAAACTAGATTATCAGTAGTTCCTGAGCGGACAGCTTTCAAGGTGGGAAGTTGGGAACATTTTATAAAATGGTATTGTTGCCTATTACTCGTTGATTTCAGTTGCGCCTATAGAACAGTTAAAATATAAAAAAGAAAAGAGCTAAAACAAGTAAAGATGAAACTATTGCCTTACTGAGCAGAGATGAAATGTCAAACAGCATTTGCAGTAAATCTGTGAGTAACTGGATGTACAAAGAACTTAAAAAAGGATTATAAAAGGATTGTCAAGGATTAGTTGTCTTCCCCACAAATAAATGCTTCTGAGAAACTGCTAGGATTACTATAATAATGCATGCATTCAATATGCAAAGACTGAGTTGTCATATAAATGATATATTTTTTTAATATATGATTTGCAGAGGTTTGCTTGAGTATTTGGAGTCCATTAGCCTATTTTGCCTTTATTCCCAGGAGAATGTCTGAGGTAAATCCCACAGAAAAAGTCGCTGTAACAGTCCCAGAGTCAAAGACTCCACCGCCAAGGACGGATCCAGGGCCTGCGATTGGTGGACTGCGCCTGCGATCTACACCAGGGGCTTGTTTGTTGTTTGCTGGTGTTTTGCTGATAGTAGGAATCGGCGTCGCTGTGGTGGGGTATTGGAACAGTCAACCCCGCCGACAACAAACACCACATCATGTTTCAACTGGACGCACCTCTTCAGAGAAACTGAAGCTGATTGGTCCTGTCATCATGGGGGTGGGGCTTTTCATATTTATTTGTGCCAATACAGTTCTCTATGAAAATCGTGACCGAGAAAAACGTTACGAACAAGACCGAGATAAAGACGACCAGGAGATCCTGCCACTAGTACAAACTCATAGGAATAATAATTCAAAAGGATTGTCACAAATAGAAATGAACACCAACATGCGTACATTGGACTTGTCTGAAATCAACATTCATTGCTTAGAAGAAGGGGTGGGAATTCCCACTCTAAAGTGCTCTTCCCCATCCTCTGGCTCATGTAGCTCCAGTCAGGTTAACTTGGAGACTGGATCACCCCTCAGAGATCACAGAAACATGGAAACATTGGCCTTGCCAGTCATTAAACTCAATGACTGCCTGATTGGCCCCTCAGACCCAGAGCCTCCACCTCTCCCTGAACGGACATACCGGAAAAATATAGGAGAGGAAAATATAACAAATGTGGAGCTAAAACAAGTTAATCCTGCAGATTCATCTCTTATTACACTGAGCAAAGAAGAGCTAAAGGATCGGTAGTCTTTTACATCTGTTGTCCTCACTAAAGGTCCACATGTAAATATCTATTCAAGTCAAACTAATAAGATGTTAGGGCTGAGAATAGATAGATTTCCAAATTTGATTCCGATTCACAAATTCTTCTATTTTTTATTCAATTCTAATTCTTTTTGGTATATTTCTGTTGTAATAGGCCTATGCATTTTTCTTACATTTCTTTCTGTGCTAATTCTGTAATTATTACTGGGCAGTTTTTCAAACGTATTCAACCTGGTAATGTTTTTTGAACACGCTGCAGGTTTTTGATTTACTAAAACCGGCTCTCAAGAGTCATTTGTTCATATATCGTCACCTCTGTCTGTTTATAGAGGCAGTCGTTTCATGCCATCATGTCGCAGTAGCCTACACAGTCTTTCTATTACATCAGTATACAGAATTTACATTCGCAACTCAGGTAAAATATATATATATATTTTTACTATGGCTCTAAAGAGTAAAAGATCACTCAAGATTTTAAGAATCATTAAAAAAGATCACAATTATTCAGAAACTATTTTACCCAGACATAGGCTTCTTGTCACAAAACGCTTCTTGTTTTACCTTGTACTGGGGATCAGTTAAATTGCTAATCTCAAATAGAGATTTATTTTTAAAGTTTTGAATGAACTGTTTTATAAAACGCTTATGCATTGCTGTTGCTATATACCATGTGCATTTATTTAATTTTTTTATTTGATTGATAGATTGTAATCTGACTTGTGAGAGTGACATAAGGATTTGTTTGTAGATTTTTGTTCACATGAATTTTAAGTAGGCCTAATCAATTATATATGATCCTATTTTTTATGTGTTCCCAGTCCCACCCACTCAAGCTCAAAAGAATAGAGACTGCACTATGTGACATTGTGTTTGTTGTTCTGGTCTTTATAGTTCACATAAATGTCAGAGCATATGAAAGGCCTGCGAGACACATAAATAGATATGTGTGCACACACAGACAGATTCTCCTAGTCCTGCCCTTAAAAAAAACAAGTTTATTCAAGTGTACTATTAGTATACTTCTTTTAAACTAAAAATAAGCAAGTATACTTTCAGACTAATTTTTATTTACAACTCAGAAATATACTTTAAATTACACTTAAGTATACCTACACTGGCCGGAAAGTCTAAGTATATTTGGCATATACTTGTACTCAATCTTTTGATTGAGATACTTAAAAGTATAATTAAGTATTCTTAGTAGCCCTATACTTGGCTTATAGTGTGTTTGATTAAAAAGTTATTGATTTATAAAGAAAATGGATGTGTTCCTAGTTCTGAGTGTATGAATTTTTGTGTAGTCTACTGGTAGTGTACATAAGAATTTACTTCAAATCTACTTAAAGGTGCAATAGGTGATTCTCTGCAGAAACACTTTTTGTTATACTGGTTGAAATTCTCCTCATATCCTGATAGCAATCATGTTAAACGTTCTAAATGTATTTTCATAAATGTATATCTTCTGTGGAAGGCGTAGGACCATAAAATGAAAATCCAATCATCATATTCGGTCTGAATGAAACAATACAATGTCATACCTGTCAACGTTTGTTTTTACATACCCTGTTACGCACCCTGTTCGCGCAGACATCATACGTCATCAGCGCGTTTCAAGCTATGCAGAGTACAGACAGACGTCGGTCACGGAGCACCACAAACAATTACGCAAGCTATTACGCATCGTTTGAAAGAGTAAAGAAAGTTTAAAACGGCCGATTCCGAAGAAGCAGCAGAATCAAGCCAGACTATGCATTGCTTATGTGCATGTAATCCAACGCGATCATCAGACATTAAACAGCATATAAATCCAAACTGCCAAACGTTACCGAATGAAATGTTGACCTAGGAAGAAGTATAGGACTAACTACTAAATTAGTAGTTTACTGAGAGTATACTTCAAAGGGTACTTTCATAAACTAAAACATGTGCTACAAGTATGTAAATAGTAAACTCAGTATACCTATAAGTTCACTTGTATAGTTGAAGTACAAATGAAAAACGTAGTTGTAAACTAGTTGTGTACTCAAAGTATACTACTGTTATACTTAAATACACTCTTGTATACACTCATTAGGGGGAGGTGCCTGTGTTGCATAGCATATTCGTGTATCTGGGGGCGGAGCTATCAAAATTATCCTTTTAGTTAGGGCCGTGTTTGTTTTGGTGATTTCAAATATCACCAATGTTTCTCAGAAATTGCTTACTGCACCTTTAATTGTTCTGTATTGTTAAGAGACAGCCTGAAAGACAAGCTTCTAGAAGTCACAGCACACAGTGGGTGTCAGTCACATGCAGTCATACAGCAGTGAGTAATGCTCTGTTTTGATTAGTGTGGGTTAATCCCGAACTGTACGACTGCTGCAAAACCAGTACAGCTGTCTGGTACAGCATCAGAGCTTAGAAACATGGATTAACAGTCTTTTCAATATCTCAATAGTCAGTAAGTATACAATGAGGGATTTGGTTGGTTATGATGATTTAATGAGCCCCTGCTCTGTGGATGATGTAACTGCAGTATTTTGGAGGCAAAAAAAGTGCATTCTGATTAGATACATTTTTTGCAAGGAACTTATAAATCACAAACATCAAAGGGAGCAGAAATAATATTTTTAGAGGTATTCACATGTTAGCCACCAAATAATCACAAATTTCATTAGAGCTCAGTGTAGACTAAAATGTGCTAGAATTTTTTTTCTTTATTAGTAATGTAGTCTTGTTTTACAGTAAAATATCTAAACATCCTTAAAACAAGATAAATTAACTTTGTTGAATTCTTTTCAGAGACTTGAATTATGTTTATTTTTCATATTTGTCATATATAAAAAAATATATAAAAAATTGATGAACATGTTTAGAAATCGACAGTGTGCCACATACTGAACATAGAATAAACACATCTCAAATTTGGCAGTGCATATGACAGCTTTTATTCCTTTTGATTATAATTGAATAGGTGTAAGCAGTTAAAATAAACTAAATTGAAGCTTGAGATTTGTATTGATTTTCAGCTTGAAGGTCTATAAAAATTAAATTATGTCAAATTATATAGTATTGTGGATTACCAGTGTACAAGTAAACAACTTTCAACAATGTTAAATTACACTGATCAAATTGATGAAAACTGCAAAAGAGGGTTATATTCTATAAAACATGCAAAGCGTTTGTTTTTTCCACATGTTCACATCCTTGAATGTTTCAGCCGTGATTATATGCAAGTGCGTAGAAATGAAATGATCAGGCAGTTTGAATTCAAACATATATTGTTTCTTGTTGGCGAAGCAAGACTGTTTTTTCATCATCTTCAATCTGCAAAAGAAGATTTTACAGTCACAATTGGTTCACAGTCTTTTCTAAAAAGCATTTAAAAACGTTCCTTTTGGAAAGTCTTTAAAAGACAGGAGTGTGTTTTAATATGAAAGGTGGAACAATAAAGCTGTTTGAGGTTGGATCCGTCCCTAAATCCCTGTGTTTCTCTCACATCTAGATACTGTAGATCAGTGGTTTGCAACCTTTTTGACTCCAAGCCCCCTTTGTTCAAGACAATATACAGGCCCTCCTGTCTAAGCTGATATGTACCAATGGTACTTCTGTTGTAACTAATAATGATAATAAAAAACACCACATAATGTTTTACATGTATAGAATTTTTAGAATTTTAATTAAGACTTAAATTTAAATAAATTATACTTATTGGGGCCCCCTGGTGGGCCCCGGTCCTCTGGTTGAGAGCCACAGCTATTTTTAACAATTCCTTGTTGAGCACATTATAACTATATGCTGTTGTGTGTGTATACATGTATGTATGTAACTCACTAAGCCCATTCTGACGAGTATCTCGCCGTTGAAATGGGGGAGCTGAGCTTTGCCAGAAGGTGAGTATGACGAGAGACGTCTGTCCCATTCAGTGGGTTTGAAATCTTCCTTGACCTCCATAAAGACACGCTTAAGTTCAGTAATGCTGGCGTGGTGCTTTAAAATAATCTCCTGGGACACATCCAAGTCCTAAAGAGAGCATATATTATGATTCATTTAGTATAGGATTAGCATTAAAGTAGACAAGCCAATATCAATTTTATACACTTCACAAACCTCCAGCATCAGAATGCTGTGACGAACATAAATGCTCTCTCCCTCAATTTTCTTTTTCCATATCTGTGACTAAGAAAAAAAAAAAAACACGATTATGGATTAATATGCTCTGGATAAGTAGGAACATGACAAAGATGATAGAAATAGATGAGTGTCTCACCCTCCTCATGAGCACGGACTCAGTCTCAGCCTGTTAGTGTTAAGAGAGAGAAAAATGATTTTTAGAGGATTGAAACTTTCACATGTTCTTTTGTGTGTATGTGAAGTTTACAGTATGAGTGTGTTTGTAACCTCAGACTCCAGTGTGATGTTCAGGACGTCTTTTGTCTTCTCCTGACGGGTTTTTGTAATGGACACAGGTTGTGCGGTCGGAGTGGAAGTCAGTGGTTGGTCAGCTGGGATCTGTGGGCGGGGTTTGGGCGGAGCCACTGGGGAAATAACAGGGGTGTGTGGAAGAGTGGGAACTAGAGAAAGAGAGATGTTCAGGAATACATGGTAACAGGTTTGACAGACATTAGAAAATATTAATTTCTTATAATCAAGTGTTTTTGATTCTGTTTGTGATACATACCATAATCTTTAGGGAAAGCACCCATAAGGGTAAACCAATCGTCCTCCAATTCTGTCTGCAGCTGTACTGGTCTTTTCTCTGGTACAGATGGCCTTTTTGGTCTTTCCTCAACTCTTATCTGTTTCTTCCTCTCTTCTTCCCTTCTCCTCTTCTCTTCCTCAGCCCTCCTGTCCACTTTAAGGTCATCTGCGACAACTTTAAAGAAAGTAGAGAATAAGAATTTTTTGACAAGACTGCCAACTGTGCAATAGTGAAATCTGTCCCAAATACAGTATTTGTTGTTATTTTGTATGTAAATGGGACATATTTTTTTAAAAAGATTTTACATCAAAAATGTGGTATTCAGTAGGACATAAGCGAGGACACATTAAATTGGTCAAAAGTGATTTTTATATTGTTGCAAAAGATTTCTATTTGAAATAGAATATGTTCTGTTGACCTTTCTATTCATCAAAGAATCCTAAAAAATGTATAACTATTTCTATAAAATATTACGCAACACCACTGTTTTCAACATGAATAATAATAATGCATCTTCAGAACCAAATCAGTATATTAGACTGATTTCTGAAGGATCATGTGACACTGAAGACTGGAGTAATAATGCTGAAAATTCAGCTTTGCCATCACAGAAATAAATAACATTTTAAAATATATTTAAATAAAACCTGTATTTTTACATTATAATAATATTTCAAAATATTACTGTTTTACTGTATCTTTGATCAAATAATTGCGACTTTCAAAAACAGTAAAAATCTTACCAACACCAAAATTTGAACAGTAGTGTGTGTGTATATATATATATATATATATATATATATATAAAGTGTGTATGTACCTGTTTCTTCTGGTGAAACATCAAAAAGAATGAACCAGTCGTCTTCTGCTTCAATCTGAGGCTGTACTTCTGTTGCCAGAGTAATAGATGGTTGAGCTCTTCTGGCTTCCAGTTCCTGTTTCCGCTTCTCTTGTTCTCTTAGTCTCCTCTTCTCCTCCTCTCTCACTCTCATCTCCTGCTGTCTCTCTCTGTCCTCCTGTTCTTTAATCCTACGCTCTACAGTGGCCACTGAAACAACTGATCAAACATATTCTGATTACAATATGCCTCTCACCTGAAGCAATACCAGGATAGAACAGAGAATAAGACATGCAGTTAGTGTTCCCACCTGAAGGGACGCTCCTCTTCTCAGAAGGTGTTGTGTCCAGCAGTTCAAACCAATCATCATGAACTTCTTGAACCCCGGTGGGAATCATCTGCGGAACAACGTCAGCTCTCTTTCTGGGCTCATCAATGACCACTCTCTTTTCTTCAGTGATCAGTCTTTTCTCTCTCATCTGCTCCTCCACCACCCTCTGAACTCTCTGGTCTTTGGTGATTTCACAGACCTCAAAATCTGTGCTTCTGACATCTAAAAAAAGCACAGTAAACAATGGGGTTTGTGTGCACTTTTGTAGCTGTTTTGCTTCATGAGAAGCTTGTTAAATTATTTGTACCACAGATTCATAAAAAAACACATAAAACTCATCTTTATGAAAAGCATGTAATAAAGATACTTGATACTAGTCTTGGGTAAAAACCTTATTTAGTAACCCTTTACAATAAGGTCCTATAAGTTAACACTGGTTAATGCATTAACTAACATTAAATAACAATGAGCAATACATTTGTTACAGTTTTCATTAATCTTTGTTAATGCTAGTTATTAAAAAATACAACTGTCCATTGTTAGTTTATGTTAAAAATGAACATTAACTAAGATTAATAAAGGCTTTAGATGCATTTTTTTATTGTAAGTTCACGTTATCTGATGCAGTTAATATTAACATATGGAACCTTGTTGTAAAGTGTTACCCATTATTTTAATTATACAGTTTACAGTAAAGTTGTATATATTAACATTAATATAGTATGTATCATGTTTTTTAAAAGCATTTAATAATATTTGTTAAATGTTATTGTAAACAATGTTTCATGTTAAAATGTATTGGTATGTGGTTTTCCATTACCTATTATTGAGTTTATCATCTTTTTATTTATTTTTTTGCTATTATTGTTATACATCTATGATAGTGTTTAAAGGCATGTGTGGTGCTGTACCTGATGGAAAACTCTTCTGCTCATAAGGCCCTTTGTCAAAAAGCTGAAACCAGTCGTCATCAACTTCCCTGGGCACCACTGGAAACTGTGGGGTTTGTACGATGCTCGTCCTCTTCTTCTCTGGTACTGTTATTTGTTCTTTAGTGCTCACGGTCATCACCTCAATCACTTTCTCCTCAGTCCTCACTCTGCTCTGAATCTCCTTCTCTCTGGTCTCCTCATAAAGCTCAACAGTTGTGCCTCGCAGCTGTGGAGACGACGGCTCTGGAACAAACAATGAATGATGAATGTTTCGGTGTGTTTTTCATGTGTGCATTTGTGGTTGTGGTTGTGTGTGTGAGTGTGTGTACCTGATTCTATAGGAGAAACATCAAAAATGATGAACCAGTCGTCCTCTATGTCTCTTTCAGGCTCTGCAAGTGGCTCTGGCCTTCTATAATTCACTGTCACCTGCTCCTGTTGTTTTATCTGCACCTCTTCTTTTCTCCTCCCAACAGCGATCTTTTCTTCAGCCTCCAAAGGAGCCACAGACACAACACGAGTTTCTGGAGTGACAGACACTAAAAATTAGAAATGACCTGTTATCAATGAAAATTACCACAACAACGAAATTGAAGTGTGTCAGTAATCGCAAAAATCCATTCGCTTTCTCACAATATAAAACACTTAAAATGCAAATTCTATCATTATCTACTCACCCCCATCATGGTATAAGATTATTTTTCTTAACCTACTGGCAAAATGTTTTTCTTTTCTTGTTTGAAGCCCAAATATCACGAAAGGTTGTTAGATTTATGCTTACAATGACCAAAAATTGGTTTGAGAAAAATGAATGTCATTAAAAATACTGATTAATAATTTAAATAATATTTTTTATTTAGTATTTTCTAGTATAATTTAATTGTACCTTTTATTTTTGGATCAGTGTTATTTAAGTATTATTGTATCTGTTATGATTCCTGTCTTATGTTCCCCTTGTCTTGTGTGGACTTTTGTCATTTCCTGTCCTGTACCATGTTTTGTAGTCCCTTGTAGTTGTTCTTGTTTATTAGGCTCCCCAGGTGTGTTATCTTGTTTAGCTTGTTAATCTCTGTATTTAAACCCTGTGTCTTGTATCAGTGTTTGTGGGTTCTTGACTTTGTAATGTTGTTTGTGCTGTTCCTGAGTCCTGTTCCATAGTCTATGTCTGTTTAATTAAAGCTGCTGCATGTGGATCCTGCTTCGTCCTTTGATTCAACCTACAGTGTTACAATCATAGACTGTAAAAGGTTACAATATATTTAATAATAGTTTGAATTAGCTTGTGTTTTTAGATTTTCAGTTTTAATTTTAAAGTTATAGTCATTTTGTTATGTGCTTTTGTAAAAAAAATTTTGAATATATTTCTATATAGCTTTAATTTATTTTTATTTCGGTTTTATTTTTCATTTTAATACTTCAAATTGAACCAATTTCATTTAGTTGCCAGTGCAACATTTCTAATACATTTCTAATGATTTTTAATAATCTTAGTTTTAGTTAACATTATCCAAAAAAATTGGAATAATAAATGCCACAGTTACTTTTCATGTTTGTTTTACAGAAATGTGCAGCTTGGATATTCTTATTTGTTACATGGAAGAAAAAAAATCACAGTGACAGGAGGGTGAATAACTGATGACAGAATTTTTGGCTGAACTGTCTTACAACTGAATCTTTATCACACAAATATCAGAATTGTGAAATGTGAATTTGATTGTGATTATGCTTGCAGAAAGAAGTACTTCACCTGATGGAAAACTCTTCTGCTCATAAGGCACTTTGTCAAAAAGCTGAAACCAGTCGTCATCAACTTCCCTGGGCACCACTGGAAACTGTGGGGTTTGTACGATGCTCGTCCTCTTCTTCTCTGGTACTGTTATTTGTTCTTTAGTGCTCACGGTCATCACCTCAATCACTTTCTCCTCAGTCCTCACTCTGCTCTGAATCTCCTCCTCTCTGGTCTCCTCATAAAGCTCAACAGATGTGCCTCGCAGCTGTGGAGACGACGGCACTGAAACAAACACAACCCATGATGTATGTTTAGATATGTGTGCTCATGTGTGTGTATATATGGTTGTCTGAAACAATATGGTGGACATTTACTGTAGTAATGCTGTATCAAAAATACAATCTGTTAATTGTTTTAAATAACATATATTTAACTTATTGAGAAATAAGTATTCAAATCAGGGAATAATGAGATGTAATTAGAAAGTATTAATTGAGCAATTATTAATAATTTGTTTTAAAAAGAATGTTATGAATTTCTTTCAGTTCAGTAAGAGCCCTCTTTCTATCAATTAAAATCAACTTCCTGTGATGTATGGCCAGTTGAATTCAAGTTTCAACTAATGAAATGTGTCAAATCAAAAATAATGAATTTGGCCCAAACCTGATGTGGTATAGATGTGCTCCTGAATCAACACCTATCCTAACCATAAACTACACTTGTCATTGTTGATAGGAATATTGTTATATGATGTTCTAGGATGATGACACTGAGGAAATTCACACTAAGCAACATGGTAGTGTGTACCTGATTCTTTAGGAGAAACATCAAAAATGATGAACCAGTCGTCCTCCACGTCTCTTTGAGGTTGTGCTGCTCTCTGCTCCAGAATAAGTGTCTGTGGTCTCCCATAATCCTCTGCCACCTGCTCCTGTTGTTTTACCTGCTCTGTTTTCACTCCGCTCCGGATCACGTCCTCTCTGGTCTCTTCATACAGCTCAACAGAGGCCACTGAAACAAACACAATCCATCACACATATTGATTTCTTGTTTGTTTTATATGAGTGCATGATAGTGATTGTGTGAGAGCATGTACCTGATCTTTTAGGAGAACCATCCAAAACGACAAACCAGTCGTCGTCTTCATCTGTTTGAGGCTCTGCTGCTCTCTGTTCAAGAACAACTGGCTGTGGTCTCCCATAATCCACTGTCACCGGCTCCTTTTGTTCTTTCTGTACCTCCTCTGTTTCCACTCTGCTCGGAATCGCCTCCTCTGTAGTCAGTGTTTGTGGCTTCTCCGATGGCACCAGCTCTTGCTGTATTTTCCTTTCTACCTCTCTCTTCTCTTCTTCAGCCTGATATTCTTCAGGAACGGAGCTGCTCACATCTGGTAGCGGAAATCCATTTGAGTGTTTTGTTGACATTTGTTGAGAAGCATTTCAAATCCTATTTATGCATGTTTCCAGTGTTATAATAAAAGGAGTTCAGGATGAACATTTAGCTGCTGCTACTCACAGGTAAACAGGTACAACTTATATATAATATATGTAAGGGATAATGTAGACAGTCACTTACCAAATAAATATGTCAACATGAAATATTCATTTCAACTTAAATTATTTATTTTATAATTACTTGTTTATTTTTAATAAAGAATTTTTTGTTTTGTTTTTTATTATTAAAAAATCCATTATTTTCTTCCACTACGAGCTCTGTCTTTAATTCTGATTGGTTGTCAAATATTTTATCGTTCATCAGCTGTAAAAAGTTGTTCTGAAAAAGATTCCAATGATATTGTTCCTCTGTGTCATTATTGTTAGTGCTGTGGTGTGGACTTCACTATTCTCATATAATTAGAACGATTATTAAAACTTTATTGCTATAGTTATTGTTCTTGGTGTGAACGGGCCTTAAAGTCAGCATGAAATCATAATGGACAATTCTTGTTTTTTAGGGAATATTGCAGTATTTATTATACATTATTTACAGTATTTGTGTCACAGTCTGTCTTGTCTCCGCCTCTTCACTACACTTCCCAGCATCCCTCATGTTTTCGCACCTGCCTGTCATCATCGTTGTCACCTGTGTCTTGTTTATCATCATCTGTGTCACCTGTTTTAGTTCATCCGTGTTTGTATTTAGTTCCTTCAGTTCAGTCAGTCCTTTGTCTGTAGTTAGTTGTGTTTAGCGTGTGTTATTTTGCCTGTCTGTACCTGCCTGAAGTTTCTTTGTAAGTAAAAGTAATTGCATTGGAGCTCTTGCCTTTTCGTCTTCTTCTGCCTGCACCACGCTGTGACAATTTGTGTACCCTTTTTTTATTTATTCATGTGCCCATTTAATTTTTAATCAAATACCTTCCTCTCCCACTTGCAGCGACATCTTTTCTCTTATGATGTGTTTACTGGCACAAGGGCGGTACAACCTGTCACTCACATGAGATCGACAAATAGCAATCCACAACGATCCAATCAATTCCCGATGAACAAAATCAAGTCCCGCCTTACATTTTTTCTTGTTTGAGAAGCCGTTCAACTTGCAACTTCCATGTCATGCTGACTTTAAGAGTAGTATGCGAGTATGCGGATAAATGTGCAAGATGCCACCAGATTTGTTTTTATGCACAAGTCTGCAGTGTGATACGAGAAACATAAAAATAGTTGTTTTAGTTGGACGATGGTAAATATGACATATGACTGCTAGATGGTGCAAAGGACCAATCAGAATAGAGTATTTCAGAGAGCCGTGTAATTAAAACAGAAAAGTATTTTATAGATACCTGAAAGATGCGATATCTCCATGGTTTGTGGGAGCACATCCAATAGAATGTACCAATCATCATCTTTCTTCATTAGTTTGGGGATATATACTATCTGTTGCAACTCCTCCTGAACTCTTCCTAAAAAAATATGATGTTTACACCTTAGGTACTTCAATTAGCTTTTCAATTTAACTTAGAAATATATTTAATGAAAAAGCAATGAACAAAATTTCATAACATATGACATGAGACATGACAAAATCACATGACATACCTATGGGAGTAGGCGTAAGCATCAATGGCCTGCAATCTAGTAAAATGTACCAATCATCTGTCTCCACGCGTTGAAGCTCCTCCTTTTCAACTTGCTGCAACCTTTGTTCCAAACTTTCCACTTCCTGTAATCCAACCCTCAGTTCTTCCACCTCAACTAGCTTTCGTTTGATAGCCTCCACCTCCTCCAGTCTCTGCTCCATGATTTCCAGTCTCTCAAAAATGTCCCCAGAACCAAATTTCCTCTCTTCAGTGACCATAACATGTCTTTCTACCAGCTCCATCCTCTCTATCTTTTTCTCTACATCTATTTGTGATTCCACCAAAGAGTTGACCTCCTGTGTCCATTGTTTAGTGATTACTACCCTCTGTATTCTTTCTCCATTGACTTCTAGTACTTCCTCTCTTAGTGTCTCCTTTAGAGGTTTCATTACTTCCTGGTGTTCTTTCTCGATAACATCAGACCCCTCCTGGACCACCTGAACTTTATATGATTGTTTTATCACAAGCTCATTTGTGAGCCTCTCGTCTGACCCCTCCACAACTTCCACGTCCTCTCTCAGTTCTTCCGTCTGAAGAGGCTGCTGGACGCCTGATAGTGAAACTGGAACAAAATTAACCAAAATTACAATCAATCACAGCTCTTTCCTTCAGGGAATGTCAAGATTTAATGCAAACTATAATATGTATTTACGCAGAGCAGTCCAGAGGGACTTGTGCGTTTCTTCTTGAATGTTATGGAAAATGTCAGCACAGGCTGCCCTTTTATCCTTATGTCAACAAATTTGGTTGATTACCAGAGCTTGACTTTTTGGCATGTGGATGGAAGTGAGAAAGCATAAGTTAGGTGCAAGCTCCAAAAATAGGAGCTTAAAAAAATAGTTAGGCCTAGACCAAAATCACAATTAACAATATTTTAAAATATTTTTTTATTGTTAAAGGGTTAATTCACTCAAATTAAATTTCAGTCATTAATTACACACCCTCATGTCGTTCCAAACCTGTAAGACATTCGTTCATCTTTGGAACACAAATTAAGATCTTTTTAATGAAATCTTAGGGGTTTCTGTCCCTCCATTGACATCAACGCAACTACCACTTTCAAGCCCCAGAAAGGTTGTAAAGAGATCATTAAAATAATTTGTGTGACTCCAGTGGTTTAACCTCAATTTTAGGAAGTGAGTGCTTTGTTTGCACCAAAAAAACAAAAAACAAACATAATTTACCACTTTATGGTAAAGATCTTCACTTTATGATCTTCATTTGTGTTCCAAAGATAAACAAATGTCTTATAGGTTTGGAACAACATGAGGGTGAGTATCTTTGGGTGAATTAACCCTTTAATGTTTTAGGAGTTATAATAATTCATCATTTAATAATTATTTATTTTATACATTTATATTATATATTTATTTCCCCCAAATTATATCACTATATATTCTAGAGTCTGTGCATGCTTAGTTAGGCATGGGTTAATGCTCAGTTAGGCATTGCAGGCTTTTCTATAGAAGATGTACAGAGTGGTGTATTTGAGAGCACTAGAAAAGACTTACATGGGCTGCTGTCAAGGAGGACACACCAATCATCTGCATGATGCTTCCACTCCTGCAGCTTTTGGCTTTCCAGCATCCCATCATCTGTACAGGATGTTTACAGTTCATCAGAAAATATTTGTAATTGTATAACGAACAAAGATTAAAAAAGGAACCAAAAATCATATAGTGAAATGTATTTGTTTAAACAAGAATTATTAATTAAAATAGACTAAGTAATATGTGTTTGACACACACAACTATATATATATTTTGTGGTCAAATGGCAAAAGCAAGACTGCCTATTTATTTACTATTCTTTGATCATAAATGCAGATACAATGCAGTTATTTCAGTCAGATTACATTATTTCAATTTGCCATAGGACTTTACCTGATGTAGAAATGTGCCATTTGTCTGGACCGTAGACCAGGAACCAATCGTCAAACTCTGCTCGAACTGGTTGCGTTAGAATATCAAGAATTTCTTCATTTGCTGAAAACAAACAAACATTTAAAGTGAATAATTTGTATCCATAAATAAAAAAACTAAATTAGCCTAAAAAAAACAAAAGAAAAGGAAACAAATCTACTAAATTAACTACATATCAAATCAAACAAACTAAAACTAACAAAATAAATAAATAAATGGTTGCCTTTTCTCTTGTTGATATAACGTGTGAATCGTGGAGGAGCTCGCGTGATGTTGCCACTGGCCTCCAGACACTCAGACTGAGTGAGTCCATGGTGGCGGAACCTGGAACCCAAGGTCAAGAGCCGTTTTGCTTTTGTGTCTTGAAGTCTGTTTCTGAAAAACACATTCAGAGGTATGGACGTTTTTCTTGAAATATCCCAAAGAGGTTCGAAAAAGTTTTACTTCGAATAATAATCTTTTCAAATAATGTATACATTTGACTGGAGCGCCCCCTTGTGTTTCTTGTGCTCACATGGACACAAAAAAATGGCTGAACCTTGTTATATACATACTGACTGTAAGCCTTGGTTAGGTAATAAACATACATACATGGGCTGGCTTACCTGAAGAAGCTATGATGTTCTACAGAGCATTTCCATAGTTGTTTGCAGGCTCGGTAGGTGGCCAATCTAAAGCTGACGTCACCCTCAGACTCATCTGGCTAAATCAGGTCAAATGGAAAAGTTAACCACATTAGCGTGTGTCACTACTCCAAAAGACCAAGAGCAATCCATAAGCAAAGAATAAAGCTAGTGTGCATGAATACCTCAGAAGGACGCATCTTGAGAAGGAAGGTGCTGCGTTTGTGGGAGATTTTAAGAACTCTGGGCCAAAAGAAAACATTTGTTTTTATCCCATCCTCATAAACCATCAGTCCCTCAGAGCACACGCCGAGCATCACATCTGCACCGCTGACATCCTATCAACAAATCAAACATTATACTAAAGATGTGCACCGTTCATGCCCTGTTAAGGGCTAGTTCATCCAAAAATGAAAATTCTGCTATATCACTCAATGTTGTTTCAAGCCGTTTGACTTTCTGTCTTCTGTGGAACACAAAAGAAGACTTTGAAGAATGTTTTTGTTCATACAATGAAAGTCAATAGGGTCCAAAACAACACTTGACCCCATTGAGTTTCATTTTATGGACATTCTTCAAAATATCTTATTTTGTGTTCTGCAGAAGACAGAAAATTGTACATGTTTGCTGATTTTAATACATTCCAAATACTTTCAAACTGAGTTGAGTTGACAAATTAAAATTACTTTGGCAGGATGCAGGTCAACTCCATACATGGGAAGCCCCATGGCGTTCTCAAGGAAAAGCATATCTGCCTGGGCAGGACTCATGAATCTGTGTAGTACACAAAGAAATTATACAAATGTGTTTTTGTGTATGAGTTAGTGTACATATATGTGTGTATGATTGTTGGTACAGGATACCTGTATGTGGAATGCAGCTCCATCACTCTCTCCTCCAGCTCTTCACTCTGATTGGGTGCAAGAACGATTTCACTGACATAGTTGTTCTTGTGGAGATTTGGGTCGTAATCTCCTAGTGTTGACTGAACTGTGTATGAACCCAACAGAGACAAGATGTCTGATGGACAGGGCAGTCGGCCAATCAGAATATCTTTCTTCAGCTGAAGACACAAGAGATATCTGAAAGAATTACATGGAGTAGTAAGTGTTCAGTCAACGAAAGAAAAACATGCACATATGTATCAACACAACTATAAGCAGTTCAATGTGTATGTTTTATATGTGTGCATTTGTCTCTTGTTGTACCTAGTGATGTCCTCAGACAGAATTGAGGGATCGGGTGGGTAAAACTTGATGCTGAAAAAGAATTCAGTTACTGGACCTGAAACCAAACAAACAGGGAACAAATGTAGAGCTGAAAACACAAGCATGTGTGAATCTGCACCATCCACTAATAATGTATATGTGAAAATCTCATACTTTTTATCTGTTTTCGGATCTCTTTAGCACAGTCCAGCCATACCTGAATCAATAAACACAGAATAATGCTTAAAACAAATGAGTTTTTATTTGTCAAATGATTGAATATAACAGAATCTCTATATGCCAGTGTGATATAAAATGAAATAAATACCCTGGTACTAGGAGAATCCCACATAACCAGACCATAATAATCCCTCTCCAGCAGGTCAAGGTGTTCACAAACTTTACTGAAGAGATCTTGTCCCACTGCATTTCTCTGTGCAAGAAGAAATTGAGTTTTAATCATAACATCTACCTGTATATCTTTTTAATGTCTTTAAAAAAATTACAGTAAAAAAAATATAAACTTAATTAAATATTACTATAATTCAATATATTCTCAAGAAAAAACTTCTTGTTTGAAAGATCCTGATTAAGAATGTGATTTTTTGCAATGTGAAAGGAAGGACAGAGAGTCTTTGTTCAGATACCTCCAGTTCCCACACAAAGTGGGTGTCATCCAGGAAATTCACTCGACACTGCAACATGTCTCTCAAAGTACTCTCTTCTCTTCTGTTTATTCCTCTGGTGGTGGAGTTCAGGCAGTCTCGTCAGGCAATGAGCTGCAAAAGTAGCAAGGCTTTACAATTTTCTTTCGAACTGGACCTCAGTTCACATTCATGTTCCCGTGGTTCTAAAGCAGCACACGTCTGTATGAGGCATCATAAGAGGCCCTGCCCTCCTGCACTGTCCTGTTGTGTGATATTGATATGAGTGTTTTAGAAAGATATGCCCACCCCCCACCCACTCACACAGAAACACATAAATACATCAACATGCCTGTGATAAGTGAGGGGGTCAGTCATAAACATATATTTATTTGTTCATCATGACTGGAGAAAGAGGAGACAAGAAGGAATTACTAAAGTATAAATGGATTATTTATTTAATATGATGTTACGCGGTCTTTTCTGACTAAGATAAGCTGATAAGAATGGGTGGGGTAGCCAAAGATCTTCATGCAACTCTTCCCTCATGTAACATATTCATATTACAAAATATGCACAAAAATGACTTAAAAAAAGAGAGATACTAAGCTGTCCATACTGTTTATATGTAAAATGGTATACAGGGTTTAAACTTTTCAACCACATGGTTTAAATATAACGTTGTGGGTCATGAAAAAAGTATCTGCAGGCATATTACATCAATATTTTATATGAACGTCTTGTGAGAGTGAAAATATCCACTATTAACAACAATAGCATTTTTTTTTTTAGCTATAGCCGATTTTTCTTTTAACTAACTTACATTAAGTCCTAAAATGTCTTATTGCCTATATAAATTAAATGAGTCTGTAGGAAAATAACATGAATGATCAGCCTACCTGTGCATGTGAGCTCTTCATTGGTCTTCTCATGTAGCAGCTCCCAGCAGTCTATGATGAGGGTGGAGGATCAACACTATTTCCATGACGTTAGTACTGAGATAATCAACCGTGCACATGAAACCAGACCTAGCATATCTTAAACAAAACTGAAAACATTTCAAACACTATTTTTTAAATAATGAGTATCCCCCCATAACATAGCCGACAACTGCTTTATTTTTATAGTTGCAAACTCCAAAGTGAAGAGCTACATACTATTCCAACTACATTTACTGATCTGATGGACACTTGGGTGTAGGCTAAATAATAAACTAGCAAGCCTTTCCATCCATCCTTTCATTCTCCCATCCAGTGTAGGGTCAAGGAAATGGTGGAGCCTTTCTAAGCAAGCCTTTCTATTTAACACTATATTTCCGTTTAAGCGGAATCGCAGTGTGATATTATTATATACATGTGTGTGTCTTGGGCAATTGAATCCTAGAGCAGTCCTCTGTCTGTTATCTGTCTCAGTGCAGAGGAAAGCATGAGACTTAGATAACACTGTAACTGTCAAACTTCTACTCATGTACAGTCTAGACATTTAAGAGCAGTGGACAGTTGCATAAACTGCTAGTCTTACAAGTTAATACATTTTTTTTCCTTTAAGACTTGTCTTTTAAAGCCACTTCCATAAAATGTAGATTGGACTAATTTGAAGCTGAAAAGCTAAACTGATTATGGTCAAGCTAGTTCTTAATTAGTTCCTAATGTCACAATAATTTGGACATCAGTTTTAACTAATCTAAGCGAGTCTAGTGTAATCTGAGATTTTTCTATTATTAACCAATGTGGGTGTTCCTTTTTCTTGACGGGAGGATGCAAAATTGAAATAACGTTTGAGACATAAAAAACACATTCAGTCTGATAAGTGAGATCATTTATTGTTGTTTAATCCATTTTCTTTAACTTTCTGGTATCAAACGTTATGCATATCTGTAAATAAACATACCTGACACAATTGAGTGGCAAATAAAAACGGAAAGAGTAATACATTTTTTTAAAAAACTTGAGTCACATGACCATCAATGCAACACCATTTCTTATAAGTTCAAATAACAATGTAACTGATTAAATGTTGACTATTGTCATTCAACAGTAGAAGGGTTAATTGTAAGATTTAAAGTTGATTAAAAACACGTTCTCTACTTAATGATCAATAGTATTTCTGCAGCAATAAAGATGCCATTCATATTTTTGGTGACATATGGTAAATCCCACAAATATTACATGAAAAATTATGATGCAAGCTTAATGTTTGCATAATATAACAGCATATTCTCTATTAAATTTCCATTTAAAGGAGTTTTCCAAGATTAGTAAAAGTTACGCTCAACAGCATTTGTGGCATAATGTTGATTACCACAAAAAAAAGTTTTGGGGAAAAAAAAAGAAGCAATAATCAAGGATCAAGGTTATGGTGCTGCACTTAAAATGGAAGGGACCGGGTCCAGTTTTTGGAGGATTTAAAAGCAGAAATGTGAAACTTACAATTTTATAAATGTGCTTACATTAATTATACTTTTAAAATGTGTGTATTATTTGAGTTGTAAATTGGATATAACAGAAAATGTTAGTAATTTTTCCCACACTGAAATCATGTTAGCACATATTGTTTATGTCTTGTGGCTATACTATTGAAACAGTATTTTAAAGTTTATACATTTGTTGTAAGATTCTTACTGCAATTCAGATTTGAAAGAAAAATGGAGAATCATGGTGCAATGCATTTCTGTGATAATCATTAAACCATAATGCCACAATGCTGTTGCTTGGCTTAACTTGTACTGGATACAAAATATTAAACTAATTCTGTTTAATTTGGTAAACTGTATATCAACTTTAGATGAGGTTTTAGACTCTTCAGCCTTACCAGGCTTAGATGTTAGCATGTTTACTTATTGTTTGTTTATGCTCACTTTAGCAGGCAAGATAGAGATGGGTGTGCTCTGGAGCCCTGGGCCAAAGATGGGAAACAGCTTTTCAGTGAACTTATCATTATACGTGCACAGGTGCTTGTTGTTGCCTGTATCCCAGAATGACACTTCTCCCTTCTCCATATTGACCTTTACTCTGATGGTTTCGGGCCTTCTCTCTAGATTCAGCACAGTGCGTGGAGTGGTCAGAGCATTGTAGACCCCTTTACTCAGGCCGATGGTCCACACTCCTGCTTTTGTAGTCACTGTGAACTTCCTCTTCCGAACTACTGACTCCTTGCATACTCCCAAGATCCATTTGGGGTGGTCAGCCACTCGGACCTCCCAACGGTGGCGCCCTGAGGAGAAACCTTCCGAACCAAGAACAAAAACACAGGGATCGAACCTCTCAGGGTTGTCTGGGAAAGACTGCCTCTCCTGACTCTCTTGCACACTGGAAAAATCAGGAGATATAGAGAGCCAAGGCGAGACTGTGTTGGGATCCAGGATTACAGGCACTGCAGACACAAACATGTTAAGGTGACCCACAAAGTTCTCTGAGTTAGTATTACACATATTGTATAGAAGATGAAATGTGCACTCACAACATGTGATATGAGATTGCATATTTTCCCAGATTTTGTAACCCAAAGCACCTACATGCTTGGCCATGTTAATGAGAGCTCCTTCAACCTTCTTTGGTTCATCACCAGTCCACTGGGTTCTGTGACAGACATCAAGTGACGTTAACCCTCTTACACACAGCAGAATTAAAGTCACAATGAAATGGACTGAAACAGATTGTTGAAAAATAAAAAAATTTTGGGCAGAGACTTGGTTATATGATTTGTTGATTGGATTTTGAGATGTGCATTGCACTTCTGCATACGTCATACGTCTGTCGTTTTCACTGGAAGATCCAGTTACGACATTTTTATTACATTTTGAAGAAAGAAACACATGCACGGATGAATTGTTCACAATTGTTTGTCAAAATCCAGTCATTTTAATAGAAATACGAGTGAATTTAGTGAGGGTGAAATAATTCCCCACGAAAATTTCGCTACAGGTTCAGCTGGTCATGCGAATTAACCATCAGGAGGCTGCTTGGCTTTAAAATGACTTCTTTGTGAGCTGTGCTTATACATCACAACACTCAAAGACAGTAGGAATTTTGCTAATGTGACCACACCTTAAAGGTACAGTACACCCAAAATGAAATTTAAGTCATTATTTACTAGTGTTTTTGTTGTTGTATTTTTATTAATATTGATTTCTCAAAGTGTTGCGCTTGTGTGCTACACAGTCTCATGAACATGCAGTCATACACAGCAAACCAATAGACAAGGTAAGGATTTAATTAAATAATAAATATAATTTTTGTTTGCTTTTCACCAAATCTTTGAATGCCCTCAGTCAGAATACTTAGAATATATGGCACGAGTCACCAGGGATCGTTCTGTGACCAGGTTTGAAGCTAATCACTATTCACTGCCATTATATGGATGAGCATGAGCAGGACATTTTGTGATCCGAAAAGCAAAGAAGGACATATGGCATTAGAACACTAATGCCGAAGTAAATAATGACTTGATTTTCATTTTTGGGTGAACTAACCCTTTAACCCCTTAAGTGTCACGGGCCCACCGGTGGGCCCAAATCCTTTACATTTTTAAAACAGTAATATCCTATACTAAACCTAAACTAATCTTGACAAACTATATATCATTTGAAAGCTTACAATCTCTAGTTTCCATATTTGGTGATTGATTTTCAAAATAAATTACAGAGGAGCCGTAATTTATCAATTTGCAACAATAATATTTTCATACTCTTAGACCTTTATTTTGAAATAGTGATGAACATGAAAAATCATGAAAGAAGGGTAGAAACCTCAGTTTGTTTTCATTCCAAGAGTTCAAAAGATAGCATCCATTCAATTATTTAAAAAAAAAGGTCTGAATTTTTTTTTTTTATATAAAGAAAAAAATTATATGATGTGGCAGGAAGCTAAAACGCACATGCGTGTTCTTTTTATGTTTCTTAGAGGTTGAAATCATATCAAAATCTGCCAAACTTCTCATATTACTTCTGAATAGGATGTCTACTTCATAAATTGTATGAAAATTGTGGAAATAATGGTTCATATCATTCAAAACACATATGGAAATGGAGGCGCCCTTATATGGGCAGTAATGGAGTCTGGTTGTCATCTAGTGAAAAAGTTTGGTACTGCGCCCAAACAAAATCTTACTGAAAGCTCATTTTTTGAGATATCAACCTAAAATTTGAAACACAACTTGTTCAGATTTTTGGCTTTGATTTTTTTTGCAGTTTTAGAGTCGCCCAGGTTTTGAAAATATATATTTTATATAAAATATGAATAATTAAATTTTTTACATTGTACATTTTCATAAACTCAAACTTCTATAACTTTTTTTCTATTTCACTTTCTTAATTTATTTCACTTCTACAAGAATCTGCCAAATGTCTTCTTTAAAACAAGACCAATCTTACGTCTATATTCCAAAGCATTCTTGAATTACAACCATTTAAGTTCGAAATGTGCATTTTCATGTATATTCAAAAAAAGGGGGGTGACACTTAAAGGGTTAAGATCTATAACATGCATTTAGAAACTAGATAGGGGGAAGTTTCATTTCATGTCAACTTTAAAGCATATTAGATGGAAAAAAGGGCAAAAGGCATCAGTGTGAGCAAATATGACATATCACTTGTAATTCATAGCATAACAGAACTAAGAAATATATGAAAAAAAATCGAGAGGCACATACCGTCTTTTTAGCTTCTGGAAGTTCTGAGAAAGAAAATGCGAAAAGTTCACTTAAAAGAGCTGAATGAAGGATTCATGTAGTTATTAGTTATGTTACACAGTGTGAGAAAACCCTGTATAAATGTAAGGGGTCAATGAACTAATGCTCAATTTCCATATCTTGTTAGTTACAGGGTTTAATGAAAGATTTTGCTATATGTTTTAAGGCCTTGCATGGCTTAGCCCTACAGTACATTGGTGATCTCCTCCTCCTCCTTCCGCTTCCACAACATTTACAGGTTGAAGTTCATTTTTCCCCATTGACTGATTTTTTTTTTCGAGATTGAGGCCATTGTCCTGCAGAGTTTCGCTTCAACCCCAATTAAACAGGCCTGATCCAGCTAATCAAGGTCTTACTTCCAGGCAGATGTGTTGAGGCAAGTTGGATCTAAACTCTGCCGGACAGTATGGGGCAGGTTTGGATATCCCAGTTTTATTAATCTGTTATTTTTTTATGATCACATTTTGTATTTATTGTATTTTTCTTTTCTTGATGTACAGCACCCTTAGGTACAACATTTGTTGCTTTATAAATAAACTTGAACTTGAATCTATTAATTTATTGAAAAGTGCAATTCATACAATAACTGGAATGTACATCTGCTAAGCATGTTTAAGTAAGTCTAATCAAAATGTATGGATGAATATGTGTGTCCTGTTTACAATTGGTAAACTGAGAGTAAAGGCTGATGTATACTTCTGTGTCGGACCTACGCCACAGACTCTACGCTATAGACTACGCGTTGGTTTTCATTTATACTTCTGCGTGATTGTACGGGTTGACGCGCAATTACACATGCAGAGGGAACATGTGAAACCCGAGGGAGAGGTTCTAGCGGACCAATCACAGCGCTTGCGTCCGCGTAGATTTGACGCGCTGTTACATTTTTGGAGAGGTGCACGTCAGGGTACGCCGAAGGGTACGCGCGCTACACACAGCCTACGACGTAGCTACGGCATGAGTTCGACGCAGAAGTATAAATTGGGCTTAAGTTTGAATTATTATTTGGTACACAAAAAGTTATTACCTGAAGGAAAGTCAATTCCTCGGCTCCCATTTCCCTCTTTACTGATTGAATCAATTCTGCAAGAGCTGAAATATCACGAGTGATGCTTTCAATACTTTCATTCATCATCAGCCTCTTCTCATTTTCTTCTCTATACAAAGCATTAATTCTAGATGTCTCCTCATCAGTTAAGACCTGACGGAGTCTCTCAAACTCCTGCTTGATTTGCGTTTCTGCCTCTTTAGTCTGGCCCTGTAACAAAACAGAGAAGTGAAATGAGCACATGGTTTAAATGATCAAGACTTTGTTGAAGTTTTTGGCCTTTAATACGTTTTCAGAAACTGCTTACCTCAATAAAGGAGATTGTGTCTCTATATCTTTTTTTCATTCTTTTGAAGGAGTCCTGCTTACTTTCCAGTATTTTTATTTTCATGTTAAGCTCATCCTATAAAAAAAATGCACGTTAGAAATGTGCATTTATGCATTTCCACAAAAAAAAGTCAGTATTAATTTTAGCTGTAACATGAAGTGAGTTGCTTTTGGTTCACTACTTATCATGGTGAGGGAAAATGTAACGAGCTCACCTTGCAGAAAGGCACTCCCTGTTCTATCGGCACCAGCTCGTGTCCTGGGTGAAGCGTCACGCAGTCCACGCACACAGGTTCCTCGTCTTTAATGCAGAAGAGCTGGAAGGGGCGCTGGTGCAAACCACAGATGATCTCATCGATAGGACCTCCTGTTCTCCAGTTCCTCTCCTTTTTATAGGATACGCAAGTGTTGTCCAGTGCGCGGTTGGGGATCGGTGTCTCTCCGTCGCAGCATTTTCGGCACAACGGGCATTGCTTTTTCGTCTGGTTCTTCCAACTGCTCTCCAGACATTGCCGACAGAAACTGTGGCTACACGAGAGCAACACGGGTTCCCTAAAAATGTCTTTACACACAGGACACGTTAAGTCTGATTCGAGAAGAGATGGTCTGTCTGTGATGTCCTCGTCACTGCAGTCTGCCATGTTAGACTCGAGCTGTACTTTCACTTTCGCTAAACGGCAATATTTTCTTATATGAGTCTAAAAGATGCTTAAAAATCGCGGAGCTGTTTAAAACGGCAAACCTGTAGTGCTTAAAATGTGTTGTTTAAAAAGAAAAGAAGAAAGCCATTTTTTGAAGGACGAGACGTTCTACCTGTTTTCGTCTTATTTCTGTCACTGCAACTTCCGCGTTCGTGAGAGAGCGAGTGGGTGCGGGGAGAGAAAAGCAGGAACATATAATAAAAGTGCAAACAGTCAAACAAGTTTGTCTACATTTTCATACAGATTTGGCTTGCCATCTCTCCACAATTAAATTAAAAATGTTTCTAGCCCAGTTATCTTACATTTTTTTTGTCGTTTGTTATATTAATTAATTAATATAATAGTGATACAAATGGTGTAATGTTTTGTCAATATACATAATTGATTATGACGAAAAGTACTTGAACAACATACTGATGAACAAAACATAAATACATATTAATACAAATATATAATTAAATATAGGCCTAAAGCATGAATAAAAAAATTAATTCATTGATTTTTTCGTTTATTTTAATTTTTACATAATGAAATGTTGCAGTCAGTAAATATATTAAACATAATAAAAGGTGAGTACAAATACATAAATTGAAATGTATTTATTTATGTAACATGAAACTGACAGCCTACGGCGTGAAAAAACAATTCACTATACATTAATTTGTTTATTTTAGTCTGTTAAAAAACTCCATACGTTGTCTATATCAAGCTTAATATTGTTTTGACACATCAATGTCTCGCCAGGGGATCATCATATTTGTCCTAAGCATTAAAAGTTAAAAAAAACCTGATATGTAAGATTGCATTGCAATCTGATTGCAATAGTATCAAAAGACCAGCAGAGAGCCCGTTCAGCATGCTCACGGTTATTAGGCTTTGTGTTGTTGACAACCATCTGGAAGCGCGCACACACACACACACACACATCCCCAGTTAACAAACACTAAGCACACAGCTGCACGATTCAAGACGCGTCCTGGACATCAGGAAAAACTTAGGCACACGGTTGATGTTGGAACAGTTATTTCTTGGATTTAGCCAGAAGTTAAACCAAATAGGAAGCGCACATTCTTCTTAATAACATCTGGAGATGTTTGGTAAATAAAGCCATCCTGTGAGCAGAGCTCAACGCCTTTGATTCTAGCAGCTCTCACACATCATCATCCGCGGTGGTCTCGCGCTTTAAACCGCCGCTGGGCTCAGCAGCAACACCACCACCAATAATAACAATAGCCGCAGCGAAATTGCTGGGGCGTCGCGTCGCTCAGCGCGTCTATTTATTTATCTACCTGACACAGGATGTAAGTTACGAATACCTCAATGCTTTAGAAACATGGAGACCAAGATTCGGGAATTGGTGAGTAAATGAGCGGAGGACGGTTTGCTTTTTCCCGAGAGCTAGCGGGATAGACGTGGGCATGGCTAACGTTAGTCGGTTAGCTTGTTCAGCTAAAGCGCTGGCTCAATTGTCGGTTTTAACAGTCTCTTTGATTGATACGAGTCAGTAAATGCTTACTGCTAACTGACAATGGACAGATGTACATTGCTATATACATGTTTGTTTCACAGGGTCAGTTAAATGTGATGACAGAACAGCTAAGTAAACCGTTAGCTCAGCATAGCTGTTACAATGATGCCTGTGTCAGCTAAACCACTAGACCAGACATACTAGTTAAAAAGCACAAATTGGAAAATTATTCAAATTCCAAATGCACTCCATCTTATATTTTATGTTGGGTAATTCTCAGTGTGTATGGCACATAGTTTCCTGTTGAAAGTGCTTTTTTCCCTCATCAGGTTTGTGCTACTTTGCAGCAAATATAGGTGATTCTGGTCTATTGCATAGTTTTTCCAAGACAGCTTAGGGATTTTGCAAGCATCCCTTTTGCATCAGATGTTGTCTTTTTGACAAGATAAGATTAGATAAGAATGCTTTGATTATCCAGGACAACGAATTTACAGTTTCTACTGTGACAAGACAAAAACATAAAACAACAATATTTAATAATATATAATCCAAATAAGGATTAAGGATTGTATCTAATATAAGATTAACCCTGTAAAGCCCTAATATTTTTTTAATGGAAACTTTTGACAAAATCTTTAAAAACAAGTTTACTTTTATGTTTTGTATTATGTTTGATACATCAGGCTTTTTTTGGCTAATATGCTATTGTTAGAATATTTCAATCAATCAATCAATCAATTAATTAATTGTAGGGCCACAACATGGTTAATGCAAAGCAATAAAATTATTGAGAGATGTAGCTACATATAAACAAACATATTCTTATGTTTACTTAAAAAAAATCAAAAGATTTCACAGAAAAAAGTGTACACGTAGCTGTTTTACTTGATTTGTGCAGTGTCTGGTCTGTTCTGTGTAGTAATTTATGTTGTATATGGTGTTAAATGTCGATGGTATTTGATATAGTGTACAGCACCTTGGTCAACAATTGTTGTTTTTAATGGTGCTATATAAATAAAGTTGGCATTGACATGTACTAGAACTTGAAGGTGGACATTTCTAGAATTTCAATAAAATGCCTTTTACTTGCTAAAAAAGTATGAAATATCAGTCAGAGGGCAGAAGGCATGTAGAAGATTTTCAGCTGAGGTTTTTCTGCAAAGTGTTGATTGAGTTGAAAATGTAGAGGTCTAATATACAGTAGGCTATTTGGGGATGCCATATTATAGAGTTAATTTGACTCTAGTGTTATTTGTGTATAATTCATGTATATAATTTAATTTGATGTTTTTTCTCTATAGGTCTCCATACTGTGAGCAAGTCCAACTTCCCACCCTCCAGCAGTTTCTCCATCTTTTTCTCACTTTGCCCTTTGTGGCTGGAGGAGAGGATGACTTCCCACACCCAGACTCTCCTGCTGCCTGTCTTGATGGTTCTGATCCCTGTTATCTGGGCAGGAGACTGTAAGGGCCAAAGACAGGTTCTCCGGGGTGTCCCAGGATATGTCACAGATGGGCCGGGAAACTACTCTGTGAATGGGAACTGCGAGTGGCTCATTAAGGGTTGGTGTCAAAAACTACAAAAACAAAGGGCTGATGAATGAAAGAAACTTTATTAGCATATAGTAGAAATGAAAGGGATGATCGTTTTCAGCTTATTTTTTGCAACTTGAATGAAATGAGAATTCATTCAATATTTTTTCTAAATACATCTTATTGTGAACGATTTGTCCATGCATCTATGTTTCTTTTGTTATTTTTCATAATTTGGTCAATCCTGATATTCTGTTCTCTTCAAACTACAGACCTCTCTGTGGTGACGTATGACAGACTTCTTCAAATAATTAGTCAGTCTAAAGTCTAAAGTCTGTGCCTTTCTGCAAGCTTACATTCAGATCTGCCTCCATCCAATCAGCAACCGATAGATAAAACCAAGTTTTCTACATTGTTTTTCTTTTTTGATTATCTGTTTCACTTGGATGTATGTCACAATAATGGAAGAAAAGATCTGTCACTACTTATGTTTTATTGCAACTTGAATTATTTCGTCACATGATTAAGTTGGTATTTCAGTATTTGCTGGTTTAATGAGAGCTGAAGGAAATCTTCTGGAGTCTCATCATGTTACTAAGGCTGGCTTACCTAATAATTATTACATTGGTATAACTACCTATATCAGTAGCTAAGTGACCGTGACCCTTCACTCTCTCAATTGTTATAGTTGTATGTTTGTTCTGTTTGTAATTGGAACTCTTCTTGAACTACTTCTTCAGCTCCCAGCAGAAACCATCGCATTGTGCTTAACTTCACGTTTATGGAGACGGAGTGCACCTATGACTATCTGTTTGTCTACGATGGAGATTCCTACCAGAGCCCCCTACTGGCAAGTTTAAGTGGCACCACCCTACCACAACCAATTGAAGCCAAGTCTGGTAAGGTAAGCCCAAAAGTATCAGTTTACATCCTCTGTTCAACTCTAGTCTGAGTGTGTGCTTTCCTTTTCAAGGAATCAAAATGCACTCCCTTTTTTTTTTTTGCTTAATGCTTTTTATTCTGCTTTGAGAAGTGCCATCTTAGGTATTTCTGTTTATGTCAGCGTGTGTCCGTTTTATAAGACCATGAGTCATAAGAAACTATGCCAGTGCTTGACTGCTAGACTGGTTTCTTGTTCACTTTCTGCCTCTCTTTGTGTATAGTCATTATAATTTGTTCATCTTTTTGTTGTGTTCTTTACAAGATGCTGCTCCACCTCTTCAGTGATGCCAACTACAACCTGCTGGGCTTCAATGCCACCTACACGTTTTCGGTTTGCCCTGGGGACTGCGGTGGTCATGGGCGCTGTGACGTAGCTACTGCCCGCTGTCAGTGCCACCAGGGGTGGGGAGGAGTGGACTGCAGTTCCCCTCTCTGCTCCCAGGTCTGCACACAACATGACCATGGTCGCTGTGATAAGGTAAGCAAAAGATTAACCTCTTAATCATACATAAATTAAGTTGAAAAGTATTTTAAGTATTGTTCTCCAGGTAACTCATCCTTAATAACATGAGTCTGCAGAAGATATCCTTCAGGTCTCATGTTATTAAAGCATCAAACACTGAAATATCAACTGAATTATTTGACTAAAGAGTTATTGAATCCCTCTCTTGATCACAGAGGGGTGAGCATTGTATCTGCAACCCTGGCTTTGTGGGACAGAACTGTCAGCTGGGTCTCCGTGACAACAGTGGGGCAGGACAGTGGTGGGAGGTGAGCTCAGGTGACATTCAAGCAGCCCCTCGCACCGCCTCTGCTGGAGTTTACCTGGCTTCTGCTGGAGCCATGTACATCTTCGGAGGTAAGACTGATGGAGAAAGTTATTCAGCCTTTCCCATCGCTAACTGATCATTATTCACTTCTCATCTGGGATGTGGGTTTCACACATTAAAAAAATTTTTTTGAATCATTTGGTTCTGGGGTTTTTCAAACTTTTGCCAAGGTTTCTTGCAAAGGACCCTCCTCCTACAAAATAAAGGCAACCATGTATCTTCAAGTATAACAACTTTATACGTATGAGAAACATATTAAGCTTGATATATTAAATTATTATTTAACTGTATTTTATATTATCAGTCTACTAAAGCAATATTTA